CTCCTCCCCTGTCCTTCTCCCCACCCTCCTTTCCTGTCCCCGCCCTCGTTAGTCACGATGGAAACGCAAATTAAAACCACAATGTGATAGCCCTTCATACAAACCAGAATGGCTGTAATTGAGAAAACTAACAAATGGCAGCAACAATGTAGATAAGTCGAAACCGTTAAACATTGCTTGTGAAAATGTAAACTGGTGTGTCCTCTGTGCACAGTAGTTTGGAATTTCCACCACGCAAAAAAATTCCCATGTGGTTCAACAAATCCACTTCCAGAAATACACCCCCCAAATTGAAAACAGATTGTTAAAAACAAAGCTGATGGGGCCGGCCGAGTGGCTCAGTTGGTTAAGAGCTCCCTCAAGAGTTTGAGCTCTGAGCAACAGGGTCTCCGGTTTGATTCGAGGCCCGAGCTGAGCTGCCAACAGGTGGCAGGATGGCTCAGCTAAAAAAAAAAAAAAAAGCTGATGCCTGAATCTGCAGCAACGCTGTTCACAATAGTTGTGAACAACTCAAATGTCCATCTGAATCAGCAGGGAGAACTAAGGAAGCAATTACACAGTTACACCAGGATTCTTGATTGATACAATTATGAACATATTTAATAATTTCGAGAAATGTATTTCCTTACAGCACACAAAACAATTTTAATGTGGCAGAAGACATGTTTACTAATAGATACAAATATATTTAGTTCCCCTACAACAAAAACAAAAGGTCGATTAAATCTAAGTTCAGTAATTAGTGTTTCATTATTTTCTATTTGGAAAGAGTCTAGGCATTCAATAAATATTCATCTGCTAAATGAGATAGCAAAACTGTAGTTTCAAGTTCAAAGACACGTAGAAAACGTTTTCAATGTATGTACTTGTATACAATATAATTATCACTAAAATGTTTACTTAACACATGCTCAGTTCAGAGAAAAGGAAACCTCATACACTCCTCCAAAAACTAAAACTAGAGCTGCCATCCATCCAGCAATCCCTCTTCTGGGTATCTATCTGCGGGCAATGAAATCAGGACCTCACACACCTGCACTCTGATGTACTCACGATGTGGAGACAACCTGGGTGTCCCCGGACGGACGGATGCATAAAGATGTGGCACCTGGGCCGGCGAGTGGCTCGGTTGGTTAAGAGTTGGCTTAAGAGCGCGAGCTCTAAGCAACAGGGCCGCCAGTTCGATTCCCACATGGGCCAGTGATGCTGCGCCCAAGCTGAGCTGTCGACGAGCTGCCAACAGGTGGCAGAATGGCTCAGCTGGTGTAACAAGACTGCCTGTTAGATGGTGGGCTACACCCACCCGCAACTAAGACTGAACTTGGCACCTTGAGCTGAGCTGCTGCTTCACACTTTTTTTAAAAAGATTTTATTGGGTAATTGGGGGAGGGGAACAGACGAGTTGCTGTCCTTTTGTTCTTCAGTCTAGTTGTGGAGGATGTTGCTTCACTGGCCCATGTTGGTATTACCATTGAGCTCTTCCCGGGTGAGGCAGACCAGTCGCCGGCCTCTGGATGGCCGCTCACGGTGGCTCCTGGCACCTCACAGCGGCTGCTGGCCACACACGGTAGCTGATGGCTGCCCACTGCAGCAGGGGCTGTAGCCTATGCCGTCACTGGCTACTCACGGCAGCCCAGCTCCAGGTCGAGCTGTTGTTCACCATCTTAGCTGTAGAGGGCAGTGTCACTGGCCCTCATGTGGGATCCGAACCAGGGCCCTGCTGCTCAGAGCTGACATCCCAAGTTAGCTCTTAACCAATGCGCCACTCAGCCGGCCCCCCAATAAAATCTTAAAAAAAAAAAAAAGATATGGCACCTATGTGTGGTGGAACATTGTACAGCCATGAGAAAGGACATCCTGCCATGTGGAACGTGGACGGACCTAGAGGACATTAGCTGAGTGAGACAAGCCAGACCCAGAAGGACGAATAGTGCTTGATCTCACTTTTATGTGGAATCGAAACCAGTTGAAATGGAAGCAGAGTAGAAAGGTGGTTGCCAGGGGCTGGGACAGGGGAACGGGAGATTTGGTGCATGGACACAAAACACTAATTATGCAAGATGGTTACTGAGGATGTAAGGTGTGACAATACCACCACAGCTCACAACGTTGTTACATCCCCGACACTTGCTAAGAGGGTAAATCTTACCTCGCGGCCTCCCTGGGACCCCTGGATCACCCCAAAGAAACCCTGTCTTAGTTCCTTCACCGAAAGGGTAGAAACAGACCAGGACACCAGACAACATTGAAAGTTCATTTATTCAACAGCAACTTTGAAAGTGAAGCCTCTGGACTCTGAAGTGGAGGGGTGTCTCCCCATTTCTACTCCACTCCCTTCCCACACATTTGTCCTTTGCAGGCTAGAGCTTCATGGCAAAAATGTGACTATCCTAGATGTACTTATACACGACCTTTGAGGGCACAGTTTGGAGGTGTAGACGCACACGACACTTGTAAAAGTGTGACAGCAGAGTCTCACTGTAGCCCACGAGGAAGTAGAACTTGTGTGCAGGCAGCTGCCTCAGGACCAGGGCACAGATGTCCACTTGGTTAGCCCGGCGTTTCAGGACAAGCTGGTCAGCCAGGCAGCCTGGGAAGGTGCCCCTCATGAACTTGCGGAGAAAAACGTCCTCCACCGTTCGCTCTGCAGCGTGGTCCTCCCCATCCAGATTCCCTGAGGAAAAGGGGAGTTGAACAAAGCTCCAGATGGCACTCAAGTCCACGCCCAGCCCCACCTCTTCTCCTTTCCTCTCTAAATGGAGTAACACTTTCCAAGTTCAACATGCAGTTTTTTCATTAAACTCTTGAACTAATTCCGAGAAGCAGGTACCATCATGACCTTTGTTTTACAGAAGGGAAGAATGAGCAAGGACACAAGTGCAGATGACCCCTTTCCCACTCATTTTTGAATGCCTCATAGAAGCACTGGTCATCACACAGGCCAGGGATGAAGCCACCAGCTCCTTCTGGGGTTTGGGACATGCGCTCTGTTACCAGCCAGGGCCATGGCTTTCACCAGTGGATTCTCAGTGGACCCGGGGTCCCCTGCACCTCTTAAATATCTGCTGAGTCTGCACACTCACATCCAGACCTTAGATCCAGAAGCTGAAAAGGGTGGGGACAGGAACCTTTAACTAACTTCTCTAGATACATGTGCACTGCAAACATCCAGGTCCAGACCCTTGACACTGAACGAAATACAGTTACTGCTCATTAACCAACAGTAGTTCTGCTCTGTGAAGTCACCACGAACAACGAATTAGCAAATGCCGAACCCCTGCTCCTGGGGAAATGCAGGGTTAGGCTCTGGAAGCCTTTGCCACAGCATTTCTGTCTGATCAACGCATAACTTTGTTTTCTGTGTCTGTTTACAGACACGTCGCTTAGTGCACGTGCTGATTCACACTTAACTCTCTCCCAGCTGCAATGTGACTCATGCCTGAAGGAAGCTTAAGTGACAGGCACATGTTGTCTGTGAGGTGCCGCCTTCTTGGGTTTCGGACACTATATAGCACTTCAGCACTACCAACTATCTGAAGTAGTGGAGTCACCAACAAAAAGCACAAAGGTGTGAAAAAATGGCATTAATAGATCTCAGAAAGGACATGTGTACTGTGTGAAAGCTGAAGCAAGAAGGCAGAGCCTGATTCAACAACAGCTGGGAGGGTGCAGGTGGGGTCGCTGCCCACGTGGAAGAATGAGAAAGCGCCAAGAGCAGGCTAATTCCGACATGCAGGATCTGTACATAACGGTGGGTTGTGCAGTTGTAAAGAAAAACCTGTGCTTCAGTGGAAAGCTGCAGTATTCAGAGCGCTGTCCCCAGGTCTCAGGTGCAGTCCATGGGGTTCACTCCTCTCACTGCCTCTGAGCTATTTTGCATCTCCAGAAATCACAGATGACTGACAGCAATGCAAAACAGTTGTCTGTAGACATGCAAACAATTTCTGTGGAGGTTCTATTGATTCCTTGCTCTCCAAAACACCAGTTCTGTATCCCTATCAAATACATTTCAGCATCCCTGACCTACATGTTTCTGCGGTCTACCGTATTTCCCCATACATAAGACGCACCTTAATTTTGGGGCCTGAAATTTGAAAAAAGTGTATTACATAAAGTTATTGAACTAAAGTTTTATTCATCATGAAATTCATACAAATTATCACTGTCAAAACTCCCAACCATTAGCTTGTCCTCATCTGTGTATGACGACGAACCACTGTCTTCATGTACTGCCTCGACCTCAGTTCCAACTATGGCATTTGAAATCTACAACCACTGTGTAAGACGCGCCCCGTTTTTAGACCCAAAAATTTTCGGGGAAAGGTGCGTCTTATACATGGGGACATATGGTAATTCTCCTTTGGGAGTGTTTACCTGGTTTCTCACCCGCGCACTGATTTAGTGAGCGGAATAAAACCTCTGGCACGGGTTCATTTCGCATCTGTGTTGACAGTCACAACTGAGAACTCCCTGGGCGGGGCCTGGGGTCGCATCGCCCACCTCTCCTGCCCCCGAGATGGCCGCCGTCCCCTCACCTGTGTGCAGCGACAGCCAGCCCTTGCGGTGGGCGATGTGGTGAGGCGCGTGCGCCTCCTCGTAGGTCACTGGCTTGTCCCCTTTGCCCACACGGACTCGGGCCGCGCGATTCTAGCAGCAGAGAGAGGCCGTGAGTCCGCGCGCCCCGCCCGCCCCGCCCGCCAGGCCCCCCGGGCTCGCGCTCCCCGGTCCCCCGCCTCCGGGCCGGCCGCGCTCACCTTGGCGCAGACCGCGGACGTGTGCAGCGCGCTCCAGATGCACGGCAGCTGTCGGCTCCAGGACAGAACCTGCGGGGGGAGCGCCGTGAGACGGAAGACAGGGCCCCCGCCGCGACTGGCCAGGCCCGCACGCGTCGCCCACTCACCCGTGGTCCCAGTCCCCGGCTGCACACGGGCGCCGCCATCTTGGGCCGAGCGCAGCGCGCTGGACGTAAAGCCGCGCCGCGGGGGCAAAGGTCAACGCCGGGAGGCCGCGACCGCGAACGAAACCCAGTGGAAGCCGGCGCGAGTGTGCGAGTCGCCTCTCTTCGGGGCCTAGACTCCCGGTCGGGGGCGGGACCTCCGGGTCGAGCGGAGGCTGTCAGTCAGGGCGGGGCCTCCCGCTCGGGGGCGGGGCCTCCCGCTCGGGGGCGGGGCCTCCCTCTCAGGGGCGGGCCCGCGGCGGAAGCAGGCGCGGGCCTTGGTGCTCCGGAGCGGCGGTCTTGGAGGTCGGACTTCCCCGCCGCTGCGCCGTTGTGCGGTGGGCTGCGCCGGGCCAAGTGGGGCCGAGGGCTGGACATCAAAGCGTAGGTTTGCACCTCTCCGCCCTAACACCGTCGGCATTTGCATCGTGTTTCAGATCTGGAAATTTGATGATGCTGAATTGAGGTCGCACCCTCAAAGAGCTCGCACTGCTGTCCAGAAGAGGGAAAACGGGGCGCCCGCCGGGCCGCGCCCCGCCCAGCCTGGGGCCCTCCCGTTAGAGGGCAGCAGAACAGTTTTATCAGGTTCGACAAACTAGGCTGCTGAGTAGTCTCCAAATAATATTCTTTAAAACAAAGAAACTCCTGGATTTGTTCACAAATGAAGAAGTATGATTCCCAATTCTTCAAGGATTAGTTATGCAGAGGGTAGGATTTCTCATGTGACCATACCCTAGTGTCTGGACTGGAGAGGTAAACAAGGGCTGGGTGGTAAGGAAAATCATGGGCCGGTCACAGGGCCTGTAATGCTCAAGCCAGAACATGACCACTGTGATTGGTATCCAGTATTTATTAATGTCAGGCGGAAAAGCAGCAACGCTGGACATCTTACTTCAGAACTCAACACAGTAATGGAAAAAAACCATGGCTGGCCCAGTGGCTCAGTTGGTTAAGAGTTGGCTTAAGAGCATGAGCTCTGAGCAACAGGGCAGCCGGTTCGTTTCCCACATGGGCCAGTGACACTGAGCCCGAGCTGAACTGTTGACGAGCTGCCAACCGGTGGCAGGACGGCTCAGCTGGTGTAACAACAAGATTGCCTGTTCAATGGTGGGCTATGCCCACCCGCAACTAAGATTGAACACAGCACCTTGAGCTGAGCTGCCGCCTGGATGGCTCAGGACATAGAGCCTGCGCTCTTAACAACAAGGCTGCTGGTTCAACGCCCGCATGGGATGGTGGCTACGCCTATCCACAACTAAGATTGAACACAGCACCTTGAGCTAAGAGGCCACAAGCTGACGACAGGCAGCCAGATGGCGACTGGCGCCCTCCACAATGAAGATTGAAGAACAACAACTTGGCTGTTCCCCTTCCCCAATTCCCCCAATAAAATATTTTTTAAAAACCAAAAAACCATGAACTCTGGAGTTGGCCCAGGTGTACAGTTGAGCCTCAGTTCCATTATCTATAAAATGGGTTTGTTGATTGTACTACCTCATAGAGCTGTTAGGATAAATAGCTATCATTGATTTCTTAGGTTGAGTCATGTGAAGTCGCCAATATTTGGCCATTTTGTACCTATATCACTCAACGTGATGCTGCTTGGGTGATGGCTGGGGTTTCCGTGGGAGGGAGGATGAGATTCTCATCTACGTGGAAGAGGCCAAGGGTGGAGGGTGAGTTGCCCAAGGTCACGCAGGGGAGGGCCACAGAGGGACCACGACACCAGTCTCTTGGCTTCAGTCCAGTGCCTTTTCTATGACCAAGACCTCTTTGACCACTTGAAGCTAGGTCCTCAAAGAAACGTTAATGAAAGGACAGTGGCTTTCATGCCCACTGAACGAGGAATGTTTTATGTCTCATTTTCCCTGTGGCCTCCAAATGCTCTGCATGTTAGATAATGAGACGGGACAAGTATGGTCAAATGACAGCACTTTCCAAAAGTAAGAACTTTCACCTTTTCCTGGAGGACCTTTTAAAATGATAGTATTTCATTTTCCATAAAGTATGATGATTTTATAATTTGATGTGTTCTAAGCCTGCTCCAAAATGGTGAGGAACATGGGGTCTGGAATCTGAATTACTCCTGACTGGATGTGCAATTTACACAAGTCCCTTGCCCTTCCTGAGCCTGCTTCCCTCATCTGTAAAATGGGGGCCGTGATGATTGTTGTGAAAATTACATTGTAAAATGACTGACAAACAATAAAATTTTTTTTTTTTAAAGAAAGGAGCCCCTGATATCTACCTCCTCTTATGGAGACAAAACAGCTTTTGAGGGTTCATGAGAACTCACAGGGACATCCCGTAACCAGAGAAAAGGGGATAGTTTTCCAGCAGAGGTGACAGCGGTACCCACTGCTGCTGGCCCGCTGAGCGGGAGCTGCTATGCTTTGGTTCAAGGTCTGCCCCGGAGGCAGAAGGCAGCACCACGATAAACTGAGTGGTTCTCTTTATTCAGGCCACTCTTCCTTCTGCCTGAGATGTCCCTCAGGAATTCCAAACTGACCTACATCCCTCATGGTTCAAGTATACTGTTACCTCCCTTTCATTTACTTTTGTTTATCCTGTACCTTGTAGCAAACAGGGTTTCAGCTGGTTCCTTGATGGGGGTCCTGTGTGTTTGCATGATTAAAATAATTCAAAATGACATTTTAATACATACAATAGTATGAATTGTTATTGTTTTAATTTGCCAGTGGGAAAATTTACTAGGGTATTTTAGTTTTCTGTAATTTCCATTTGTTAGTGTTTTGATGCATTTTACTTCCCGTCAATTCTTAACAGGCAATACTGTCCAGGTTTTGCAGATCAGAAGATGAAGTCCAAGACTCACCTGAGGTTAGAACTAGCAAACAGAGTGAGACTTCTTGTTACAGAGCATGTGCTCGTCCGTGTCTAGGGCTCCCCTCCATCACAAGGTGGGGGGTGGCCTCCAGAGCCATAGAGGATGGGGGAATGACCCCGGTTTCTGTGGCTGAGCACAGACTACTTCCTGGATAAGGAGCAGCCACATCTAGGGACAAGTGACCCCAGGAAGGGCACGAGGGGGTCCAGACAGAGCCCTGGGGAGACAGGATGTCCAGCTGTTTTCTTCTCTGACACAAGCCCTTTTCTTCCTCAGGATAACCAGGAGTCAGCCGCTTTCATGCTCTGAGAACACAGGCTCTCCACCCTGGTTGCATGTCAGTATGCTCTGACCCCACCCTGCAAGCACAGGACTGGGGGACACCTGCTTTCTCAGCGCTGCCTAGGGGACCCAGGTTTGAAGCCAGGCCTGAGAACCGGTGTTCTAAACTCCACATTTAAGTGGGAGACTCCCAGATCGATTTGTAGAGACCCCTTTGGAGAGAGGGCTGTTGGACATCCCTTACAACCCTCTCTACCACCAGTGTTGTGAGATGATAGTAGCTGTCACTCAGAGGGCACTGGCCGTAGACACCATGCTAGAGCTGACACTCTGCCTTACACAGGGAGCTCAGATGGGGTTGGCAGAAAGGGAGACCAAAGAGGTACGCTAAGGACCACAGCAGGAGGTCCCTTGACCCCCGGGGTAGGATTGCAGGTGGAGCTGCCATCACAGGCTGTGCTGAGGGAGGAGTGACCGCTGAGGCTAGCCAGGGCCCAGGACAGGTGGGAGGAGGCCCAGGCAGCCGGCAGCATGAATGAAGCCCTGAGTCCCGAGTGTGGGTGCTGTGGGGTGAGGGGCGGAAAGCCACCAACACCCGATCAAGAACTCCTCAGCTCCCTGATCCATCGGTGCTTGTGAGGCTAGACTGAATTTCTTTTGTTGGAAGTCTTCAGAACTCAGGACAGGTTTACAGCCAGAATCGTGGTTTTGATTACTAACACAGACAAAGAGAAAGGCATTTTCTTTACTTGGCTAGCTGACATCTGAGGAGCTGGGGAGAGCTACCGTAGCCAGTTTACATTGGTACAGATTTCTAACAGCAGCCCTGCTTGGTTCTGTCAGTAACACTAATAACGTCCCTGGCAAGCCATCGCTTGATGTATCGTTGACAAAGGGAAATGGCTGCAAATTAATTCTAAGATACCAGTGATTGACTGATTACAAGATGAGTCCTGTCAGCCAACACTGAGCGCCGGGCTGGGGTGAGCCTGTGGGAGTTTGGGGACAATGAGTGCTCAGAGCCGAGGGCACCGTGCAGGCAGGTGGCTGGAGCTTGCGGCTTCATGGTTCTTGGCCCTTTCCTTATCTACATAATGGGATGATAATGGAGACACCTAGAGTCACTGCAAGGACATTGAGTTCAGTATCCCAGGAGCAGCTTGAAACTGGGTATCTGCTTAGAGAGGGGACAGCATGGCATCTTTAACACCTTCTCTCAGCTGTCTGCCATACACCCCTCCCTCAGACAGACGCTGATCCTGGTTGAGGAAACAGGAAACTGGAGAGGAAATTGCCTATGACTCATTCGTGCAATCATTCATTTCACAAACTTTTATTAAGCGCCAACAGTGCTGGGCAACCATGCCCTGCCCTGGAGGGGCTCAGAGCCCCAGGGCAAGTTTCAGAAGAGCCCAGTGCTGTGCGGTGACAGAGCCAAGCCCTGGTGGGGTCAGGAAGGCTGCAGTCAGTCAATAAATAGACCTGCCCGCCATGGGCACTCACTAAGCGGGCAGAGTCACCCAGCTCTGCTCCCGGATTTCTTCCCGGCCCCTCCCCTGGGCACTGATGGACAACTGCTGTCCACTCCAGGGGCGGATGGAAGAGCCGCTGTTGGAAAGGCCACACCCCAGGGCACCTCGCAGCAGACTGGCGGTTCCTGCCTCCATAACACTGTTCAGGAGACCCTGGATGCCGTCTTCTGCATCGCTCCCTTCTCACATGGGACTGAGACACCCCTCAGGGGAGCGGTACTCAGAGCCGTCTCACCAGCTCAATGAGCTGCTGGACGCTCCTGTTGGGATTGGACAGGCCGTTCCGGATGTTTTCCAGCAGGCACCTCTTCAACTCAAAGATGGCTTCGCTGTACCCCAGGCTCACGGCGGCCATGGGAGGTGCTCCGTGCCACAGGCTGGGGATGTGCCAGACGTGCAGCTTCTCTGGGTCACAGAAGGCCAGATCAGCCAGCATCCGGAGGCCATCGCCCTGCTTGTCCGCCTGTGCAACAGCACTGCTCATGTCGCCCCGCTGGTCCAGGAGCCACCGCCTGTCTCTGGGCTTGGGGCCAGGGGCAGGCACGTCATGAAGGTTCTGGTGCACGAACTGGTAGCTGGGCATGTGGCCCGCTTTTTCCAACCTCAGAAACGCATGCAGAATGGCCGGCGGGATATCCCTGGCGTCAGCCAGGGCGACCACAGTGACGTTGCTCAGCCCCATAATCAAAGTGGCCAGGGAGACCTCCAGCTCGAAGCGCCCCCCAGCCGTAGCCAAGGCCCCGGTGATCAAGCCCCCAGAGTCTATCACCAGGATGTGGTCACAGCCTAAGTCCTGGCTGAAGCTCTCAGCCACGGAAACCAGCTGCATGAAGGCCCCCCGAGGACCACGCGCCTTCCCGGTGGCAAAGCGCAGACCGAACATGGTGTTGAGCAGCGTGGACTTGCCTGTGCCCGGCACACCCAGCGCCGACAGCACCACCAGCCGCGACCGCCTCCCCAGGTGGATGTGCAGCTCCTTCAGCAGCCCCGTGACCCAGCGCAGTGGGGCGCTCAGGGTGCTCCCATCCACCAGCTCCAGGGGCAGCCCCCTGAGCAGCAGCTCCAAGGCCAGGCCCGGGAAGTGGGAAAACCGCCTCTGGCCTGCGGGCAGCTTCCCGGCCTCCACCAGGCAGCTCTCCGCCTCATACAGCTGCCCCATCTCCCGCAGGAAGTGCTCCAGCCCCAGGGGCTCCGGCCGGGACGGCTCACTGGGGTCCACAGCCCCACTCGGCTTTGCTCTCAGGGCAGCAGCCAGCTCCGGGGGCTGCCTGGGCCTCGGCTGGGCCGCCCAGGCTAGCCCCCACTCCATCCACCTCAGGAAGTACTGCTTCTCACCCGGGGAGGGGCTGCTGAGGCCTGAGATGAAGTCCTGCAGCCCCCCAGCGGGGGCCCCGGCCCACTGAGCCTGGCGGAGCTCCCTCTCCACTGCAGCCGCTGTGCCCCCGGGGGCCCCCTGCAGCCTCAGCGCGCCCCTGGGGCTCCCCGTGACCCGCTCCATCCGGCCCTTGGCCCGCTGGCACTCCTCGCAGTCCTCGTCAACCCTCAGCCCCAGCTTGCGGGCCGCGTGGGCCATGTCCTCCAGCGACAGCCTCCTGCAGGGGGACCGGGCCACGTGCATCATGATGGAGCGGACCCTGTGCACGAACCGAGCGCTGTCTGTGCTGCTGACCTTCACGAGCACGTGTGAGTGGTCTACACGCAGCACAGGCAGCAGCCGCCCCAGAAGCCGCAGGTTCGTGTTCCGCTTCCCGCGGCAGGGGCTCAGGATGAAGTAGCACTTGGTGGCTGACCCCTTCATGGAGGACAGCAGTTTGTACTCCTTCCTACTGACATTGTCGGTCAGAATGAATACGGCTGAAGACACTTCTGTCAGCAGCTTAAACTGTAGCCAGTGAGACCCGATGTCGCCCCGGAGGTTCAGAAAGGCCACGGGCTCGGAGAAAAGGTCCAGGTCCTCCCGGCCGCTGGGCAGGAACCAGGAGATCTCCACCAGCCCGTCTGCGATCTCCCGAGGGCCGGTGCCCACGCCCAGTTCTCGGTGCCAGAAGCAGTCATGCTGCCGGTGGCCGGGGCTGAGCACGGCGTTCAGCAGCTGGGACTTGGAGTTGCTGCTGACCTCCATGCGCACGAAGGCAAAGGTGGGCACCCGGGGCAGGACTACGCTGTCCTCCCGGAGGCCGCCCACGCCCCTTGGGGGCTGTGCCCACCACGTCCGCACGACACCCCTGAGGGCCCAGAGCAGGAAGGTGTGGCTGTGGTTTTCTGAGTCGGGCAGAATGAGAGGCAGCGCGAACTGGCAGAGGGACATTTTCAGCACAATCTCCTGTTGCAGGAAGCTGTCAGAGGACAGCAGCAGGGCGCACAGGAGGTCCAAGGGGTTCACGGGCGTGTCGGGAGCAGGCAGCTCGGAGAAGGAGTAGATGTCCGCTGAGATGTCGTCGGCCGGGTCCCAGTACACGATCTCCTCCACCTGGCTCTCCTTCTCCACAGGCCGGGCATCCGGGGGCGCGTCTGGCGCCACGGTGGTGCTGTTCCTGGCCTCGGCATTGAGAGCCTGCAGCTTCCTCAGGAAGGCCCAGGGCAAGTCCCTTGGTGCCTGAGGGGCCCAGTTCCTCACGCTGTCGCTACTGATCTGCAGGGCATCCTGGAGGCCCAGCTTCTGGACCTGGTATGTCTCTAGGCCCAGAAGCGACAGCATGTCCTGCAGGCGGCTCCTCTCCACTGCGGAGGGAAAGGAAGACGTGAGGTGTGCACATGTCAGGCCAGCAGTGGGGAGGGGGCACCAGCAAGGCGGGACAGCCTCCTTCAGGGCAGCACACATGCACAGCACAGCAGCCGGGGCCGGACACGGGCAGACATACATGTGGGATGCGCGAGGGAGGACGGTGGGGCAGCCAGGGGCCACATTGAAGAATTGGGAGTTTTCACGTTAACGTCTGAATAAAACATACAGGATCTAGCAGCACCAAGCCCAGATTACCGTATTTCCCTATGTATAAGACGCATCCTTTTTAAAAAAATTTGGGGTCTAAAAACTGGGTGCGTCTTATACAGTGGCTGTAGGTTTTTCTTTACTTGCCCTTCCCGCTTTGTTTGCGCTTGTTTTTGTGCTCATACACCCACTGTATAAGACGCACCCAGTTTTTAGAGCCCAAATTTTTCGGAAAAGGGTGCGTCTTATACATGGGGAAATATGGTAACTGGCTGGAGTGGCCAGCTACACACCCTGGATGTACAATGAGCCCCGTTCTCCAACAGTACCCCCAACCCTCCAATCTAATCTACTCTTCCGCTTCTGCCCCACACTCTGCCCAGCAGTGGGTTCCCTCACACTGTCACCGGGAACTTCCCACAGGTGACGCACTCACCAATTTCCTTGTTAATGTTCTTTTCTCTTTACAAAATATTGGCGAATTTTTGAAGAAAATGGAGTTATTGCACCAATAACAGGTTTAAATGTTTATCGCACAGAATAATTGTTAGAGACCATCATCACTCTGCACTGACTTGTGCAGGTTTTACGTGTCACCTCTGCAGTGTGGCTTTTCACACTAGAAACCACCAGAACACTCTGCATGTTAAGTGAATCAACACAGATCCTGCTGAGCTCCAGGAGTCTGTGTGCGTCTCGTCTCAAAAGAGGAATCTCACAGGCCGGCCCGAGTGGCGCGATGGTTAAGAGCTGGCTTGGGACGCCAGAGGGCCCCGGTTCGGATCCCACATATGAGGGCCGGTGACACTGCCCTCCACAGCTAAGATGCTGAACAACAGCTCAACCTGGAGCTGGGCTGCTGTGAGTCGCCGGCGACGGCGTAGGCTGCAGCCCCTGTGGCAGTGGGTTGCCATGTGTAGCCGGTAGCCAGTGTGAGCGGCCAGCAGCCGCGGTGAGTGGCCGTCCAGAAGCTGGCGACTGATCTGCCTTGCCCGGGAAGAACGCAATGATGGTGCCAACTTGGGCCAGTGAAGCAACGTCCTCCACAACTAGACTGAAGAACAAAACGACAGCAACTTGTCTGTTCCCCTTCCCCCAATTCCCCAGCAGTGTTCCGATCCCCCCAATTCCCCAATAAAAAAAAAAAATCTTGAAAAAAAAAAAGAGGAAGCTCACTAAACTGCGAGGGGAGGCACTAGGATGGGCCTTGTTTCCCTGGAAGACACACGGTGGCTCAGGACCACTGCTGGGTGACAGCAGCACTCTGAACACTGGGGAGAGCCTTCTCACTGCCCCGCAGGGTCTACCTGTGCTGAGGTCTCCTCAGGCGCACACAGAGCCCTGAGGCAGGGTGGCCGGTGACCTCACTGCAGGACCCCAAGCACTAGTGGGGAGAGACACGCCCAAGAAATTCTTCACAGGGGTTACTCAGGTTTCTGAGTTTTGCCTGGGTGAAACCAGGGACATTATTTTTCTCATCCAGACATGGAACAGCTGTTGTTATGTTTCAAGTGGCACAGCAGTTCAGTGTGACAAGAAAAGCAGAGCAAAGCAGCTCATTTGTATATTGTATATGCACTTGTGCCCGGTCTCGGGTCTGTAAATGAAACCACCCAACCCGAGGCGTGGTCCCCGAACCTGACTGTGGTTTAGAATCACTTTGAGAACTTGTTAAAATAACATCCAAAGATACCCAGTCACTATGACACTATTATGTAACAGCTCCCAGGGGGCTGTTTTTCTGGCAACATTGGTACCGGCACACAAAGGGGTAATGGACTGGAGGCGACTCTGACGCAGTCAGTTGCGGGAACCACAAGCCTGGATGACGCCTTCCTTCACTGGGACAGGAAGAAATGGGAGAAAGCACGTACCTGTTGGAAAGTCACTGTCCTGGGCCTCATCTGTACCATCTGAAAAAGCAAAAATAAAGTGTCAATCAAATCAGGTGTCTGGGACTGACACCAGCCAATTTAGGCTGAACTCAGAACCCTCTTTTTCTTACTAAGACAGCAACTTCTCTAAATTGTTTAAAATGGAAAATCCCAGTTATTTTTCACTTTACACATTCCATCCCTCTTTTCCTAATCCAATGTGTCATCAAATCCTGTCATTTTTACCTCCGTAATGAAACTCGCAATCATCTCCTTCCATTTCTCTCCATTCCAAATCTGGAAGAAAAAACACACACACTTAGCTTTATCAGCAAGTTAGGACTTTTCTACCAAAAAGTAGAAGTGAGGATACAGTGGCTAATTTATTTTTAGTGCTCTTATTGCTTTCAGTTTTTTCAAAATAAATTTCATTTTTTTAAACCCAAAAGATGAAACAAACTAGTAATACCTACACACAAGGTAGGGATTTGCTCTAGGATATATCTTTTGTATTATTTAATAGACTTTGTGAAAATAAAATATAAATAACTACATGAAACACATTGGCCAATCTTTGATTTTAGAAACTATTTAAAATATAACTTGAGGGCTGGCCAAGTGGCTCAGCTGGTTAAGAGCTCGCTTGGGAGCACCAGCTCTGAGCAGCACGGCTGCGGTTCGGATCCCACATTGAGGGCCAGTGATGCTCACCCTCTACAGCTAAGATGATAAACAACAGCTCGACCTGGAGCTGGGCTGCCGTGAGTGGCTGGCAGCCAGTGTGAGTGGCAGGCAGCCGGTGTGAGCTACCGGGAGCCGCTGTGAGTGGATGACCAAAAACCGGCGACCAATTGCCTCACCCGGGAAGAGCAAAATGATAATACCAACATGGGCCAGTGAAGTGACGTCCTCCACAACTAGACTGAAGAACAAAACAGCAATTTGTCTACCTGACTGTTCCCCTTCCCCGATTCCCCAATGCTGTTCCCCTCCCCGCAATTCCCCAATAAAAAGAAAATCTTTAAAAAATAAATAAATAAAACTTGATATAAATTCCTCAGCTCCTATGAACATCATTTTTATTCTATCATAAGGAGGTTTTTTTTATCACTTAACACGATACACGTACATGGAGGAAGGGCTACAATTTACAAGTAAACTGTCAGTTGTCCAAAGCCTCCAACACCATGGGCTACCCAACACTAATATTTTAATGACAGAAGGTATTTCATTCAGTGTTATTCAGATACTTACACTGAGATACAAGACCTTAAAACCCTGAAGATTTGCTTGCAAATGTGGGACTGTCGCATCAACAATTCCCTGCACGTGTTTTTATGGTTTTGACTTTTGATCTGACTAATAGTATCACCTATTCCAAAATTAAAATTATATTTGCAAAAGCTTATGAATCAAGAAAAGATTCTGACATTTTCAGATTTATTAATTCTCTCCTGATTTCCACATAACCAGGTGGATAAACAAGGCATTTCAAATAGTCTTCTTTGATACTATGTCGGAGTCAATGTGATTAATAGTAGGAGGGAGAAAAATGAGAGAAAAAGGAAAGTGGGTTAAGAAAGCAGGAGAGTATCATAGGAGAACAGATGGGCAATTCATGTGGACCAAACCACAATGCTGAACAATGTGGAGAAAAGACATCAGAAGAATTTCCCCAAGGAATCCAGATGCCAATGGTTGTGGTTAGAGAAGAGAACGGGGCACTTCGAGAAACCCAAGATGGGGTGAGGTAGTCCTGAAGTTCGGCTGAGCTGGAATCGAGTACACTTCAGGCCCAGAGAAGACGGGGCCTTGCTTTTTAGGGATGGGCAACAGCTCTGGTTTGGAATGGGAAGGTAGCAGGTGGATGAGGCAAGAATGCAGAGGCAGAGGGTCAGGCTATGGAAAGCACTGACCAGGGCAGGAGAGCCGAACGCGATGCAGGCAGAGAACGCTGGGAGGCACCAGCAGACAGCAGGCAAGGAAACAGGAGGCAGCAGCAAATGTGGGGGCCAGGGAGGGCGGGTATCATGAGCCGAGGTCTCTACCCGAGCTCCTGTTGCACTCAAGCTAGTCAGGAGGGTGTGGGCTCCAGCCCAGTGGGAACACAAGGGCCAGAAGGTGGGAACAGGCAAGTGTCCCTCAGTGGGGGACGCACAGCCAGAATGTGGTCCATTGCACAATGGGACATTACTCATCCTTCAAAAGGAACAACATGCATGAACCCCAATCATTATGCTCTTTGAAAGACATGGAACGCAAAAGGGCACACATGTGTGATTCCATTTATAGGAAATAGAACAGACACAGACACTTAACACAGATTGGTGGTCACTATAAGGGCTGGGAGGGGGGACAGATGGGGGAACATTGACTAATGGATACAGAGTTTTACTTTTTTTCACATTAAAAAAAATTTTTTTTGAATCATGTTTTTCTTTTAGTTTCAGTGTATCAAACAACACAATGATTAGACATTGACACCCCTCACAAAGTGATAACCCCCCCAAGTCTACTACCCCTCTGACACCATACACAGTTATTACGATACCATATTCCCTATGCTGTTCTTGACATCCCGCAATCATGTATCTACACACACACACACACACACACACACACACTGGGCGTGCCAAAAAAATTGTACACAAGTGGACACTTTAGTCAACGTTGCTCAAGCAGTAGTTCGCCATAATCAGAAGTGTCTGGACACTGATGGGAACCACTTTGAGCACCTCTTGTAATTGCAGAAGTCAAACGTGAGTTGTTTTCATCTTTTGTTACTGGTATATATTGAGTATTACAATTTTAATATTTTTTCCCTTTCTTAAAATGTATATACATTTTTTGGCACCCTCTGTATATAAAATTATAGTTGACATTCAACTATTATACATCGGCTTCAGGTGTACAGTGCAGTGGTCAGGCATCTACAGAGTCTATGAAGTGATCCCTCTGATAACTCAAGTGTCCATCTGGCACCATACATAATCTATACAACACTGACTATATTCTCCCAAACTGTATTTCACATCCCTGTGACTATTTTGTGACTACCAATTTTTACTTTCTAATCCCTTCACCTTCTCCCCCATCTTCAACCCCACTCGCATCTAGCAAACGTGTTTTTTCTCTGTATCTCTGAGACTATTTCTGTTTACTTTCCTCGTTCATTCAGTTCTTTAGATTCCACATATAAGTGAGATCATATGGCATTTGTCTTTCTCAGTCTGACTTATTTCACTGAGCATAATGTTCTCTAAGTCCATCGTTGCAAATGGTAGGATTTCATTCTTTTTAAGGCAGAATAATATTCCATTGTATAAATGTACCACAGTTTCTTTATCCAGTCGTCTACCGATGGGCATTTCAGTTGTTTCCATATCTTGGCTATTGTGAATAGTGCTGCAGTAAACAGGGGTGCATATATTTTTTGGAGTTAGTGTTTTGGATTTCTTTGGATAAATACACAGGAGTAGAATTGCTGGGTCATAAGGTAATTCCATTTTTAATTTTTTGAGGCACTTCCATACTGTTTTCCATAGTGGCTGCATCAATCTGCAGTTCCACCAACAGTGCACCAGGGTTCCCTTTTCTCCACATCCTTGCCAGCACTTGTTGTTTGTTGATTTATTGATGATGGTCATTCTGACAGGTGTGAGATTATATTGTATTGTGGTTTTTATTTGCATTTCTCTGATGATTAGTGAGGTTCAGCGTATTCTCATATGTCTACTGGCCATCTGTATGTCCTCTCTGGAGAAATGTTTCTTCATGTCCTCTGCCCATTTTTAAATTGGATTGTTTAATTTAATTGGTGTTGAGTTGTATGAGTTTTTATAAATTTTCGATAAACTAAAACAATGTGATTAACTCAAACTATTTGCATAACCCTATTAATATCCAGTAGAACACATTCACTGTGACAAGCACCAAATTAATGAAAGGCAGATGGAAAATGAGTTACTAACAGAAATTAAGATGCCTGGTGTGCGGCCACTACTTCCAGCTGACGTCACGAGGGGCAGCGACAGTGACAGCCCCACCACCAAACTTGCAGAGAAAGAACGACCGGCTTCCGTGCACCATGAAGACAGACAGCAAGCCCCATCCACCCAGGACAGTCCCATCTCACACCTGTTGTTGCAACAAAACACACCTCTTGTGCTCCAAGCGCCCAGTTTAGAAACCAGTCAGTCAACCTACACATGACTCTGGGTGCCAGTGATCAAACTGTGGTGTTCCCATGAAACTGTGATAACCACCTGTTAAAAACTGAATCCTATTTTGAATATATAAGGGAAGCTTAAAAGACCATTGGATGCATTCTTCTCCTAAAAGGAAAAACAAAGCCTTATGCTTGCTTATTTTTGAGGACCGTGATCTCAGGGTGGTGCTGGAACCCAGAACCCCAATGGGACAGAAGAAACACCTGCTTTGAAGTGGGCCCAAGCTCAGCTTTACCTGCAATGGCCACGGCTGTTCCTCCCTCAGATGCTTTTACTTCTCGGGCCACTTCTCCCACGTCTGAATGTCTGAAACAATTTCAGAAGAAAATTATAATTAAAATAATGAAATACCGCTTTCACCTTTCCAATTGGCAGGTCAGACTCTCTTGGGGAGCCTCTAAAAACTACAAATCCTGGTCACACCCCAGATCCTCAAAATCAGAATCTCAGAGGTGCTGAATCCTGGCCCGAGCGTCGCTGCTTCTGAAGGCGCCACCAGTATTCTGATGTGCGGCCCCCCAAGAAATGCTGGTCCAGAAAAACCAGCACTGTCAGGAACTGGGAGCCAGCACATAAACACAGCCGTTCAGAAAGACATAAATGTATACGGACCCTCTGACCAGTAACTCCACTTCTATCCTAAGGAAATAAAGATTTAGTTACAAAGGAGCCAATGCCAGCTTTATATACCTCAGCCAAAAAATGGATGACTTTCAAAATCAAAGTCCAATAACGATTCTGGAGCAGTCCTGTTCTGCAACCATTACAAAATACCCTGTGCATCTTACTTTGTAGACTTTGACGCTGGCTAGGATGTTGTGAAATGGAGTCAATGATGCGCTCAACTGTGGGGAAGTCTGTCCAGAACAGACTGTACAGTGTGCTGACGATCTGATACAACTGCACATGCTGCTCTGCAGGGACATATGGCGAGATCTGCAAGGATGGTAATCAGCAATGGACAGTGTGGGCAGAGGACATGATCCTGAATCTTTTCAGTGGGTTAGATGAGTCCAGCCCACTCAAGAATAAACACTTTAGGAATATCACGTGATCTTGTTGGGAGCCACGGTCCTGGCATTGGTGGAAGGACACACAAATAGGAATGGAGGAACCTACAAAGGCATATGGGAATCAGACACGGCAGTGTGCACTGGTGAGTCCTATATGCATACTCGTGCACACGTGTGTACACACAAGTGCGTGCACACACGTGTTTCCTAGCTCTGTCCACTGAAAGGCCCAAGAAGCGAAGACCCTATCGCAGCAGCAGGGAGCACACCAGCGCCATTTGTGTCGCTGTATGCTCCTAGGAGAGATGGCTCATGCCAGGGCTGAAGCCTGGAAAGCACACACGAGCCTCAGCGTCTCATTTCAGAAAACAAGGAAGGGCTCCAAGAAAGGGGCGTGTCACAGGACACCGCGGGCGGTTTGAAGGGGCTGCCGCTGCCAAGTCTGGGGCAGCGTGCACATGAACAACATTTTAAATGGCACTTCATTAGAAACCAAGAAAATATGAGTCGGTGAGTCCCCAAAGATAAACAAATGGGAGAAGAGGGCTCCTGCTTCTGTCACAGTGCTGCCGCGGCGGCTGCTGCCCGGGGAGATGCATCCAAGATCAGTTCACGCAAAAACGGTCAATGAGTGCTGACTCTTGGAGGAAATGTCACCGAGGACAGATAGCTGTCCCGTCTCACAATGCTCCTCACAGAGTGCTTACTAGGTGCCACAGAGAACAAGCCAGTACTTCTACTCAGCGGGTGATCACAGTCAGGGACAACGGAGACAGAGGGCGCTGTGTGCCCCAAGCTGCGGCACTCCGAGGAAGGGTACATGGCCGAGGTGCAGAGCCCTGAGCTGATAATGTGGACAAACCCAAAATAAAACATGCTACCAAGGAAACTATTATCCCACAGTCAGAGTGTCACAGACAATATACATAGAGGAAGTGTTGAGATTAGGTGCTAAAGAGACATGAAGACAAAAGGCAATAACTAACCCTAGGCTGGATTGTGAAGGAAAATAAATCTCGGGGCCTACTGACAAAACTGAAATATGGATGTCGTCAATGTCACATTTACCAGCGTTGACGCCTGTGCTGTGCTCATGTAAAAGAACGTCTCTATTCCTAGGAAACGGACACCAAAAGAGAGGTGCACAGGGTGGTGACGTGTGCAACTTACTCTCTAATGGTTAAGAAAAAATCATATACGTGTCATTTATACTCAGACAGACACACAGAGAGACAGTGAGAGAGAGACAGGGAATGATAAATGAGAATCGTAATGAGTAAAATGTTAAGAATAGCAGACTCTAAATAAGGGGATGTTTTTGTCATTTATCTCTAAGGAGAAATTATTTCAAAATAAACAGTTTAAAAAGTTAACAGCGGTGAATTACTTCTGGGTAGTATGATATCAGTTTATTCTGTCTTACTTTAATTTTTTTAAATAGAAGCATGTATTGATTTAATAAAGTAGAAGAGCTATTAAAACGACACTGTAAGCAGGGTTCAGGGCCAGAATAAGGTTTGTGGATGCCACAAGAAGACTAGATAACCTGGTGCCCCTTCAAACCAGGGCTCTTGCAATAGTGTGCTGACATGCTACTGTGTGGCAGCCTCTGGAGACAAGCAAAACAGCGCCACTTAATTCACTGTCAAAAGCAGCAAAACGAAGGTTTTGTGTTCACTCAATGCACCCCCAGGGGAAATTCCAGGATACCTAGTGGTTATTCCAGTATGTTCTTTGGGGGTTTCACCCTCTGTCCTCTCTGAGGAGAGTTCCAGTGACAATGGTCACTGTGTGTTCACGACTGTTTTAGCCCGTTTACCGACAGAGCACGAAGCAACTCTGACTTGATCTGACCCTGCTGCTGATAAAAATGGGAGTTTTTTCTGTCCCACTTTTCAGCAAAGAACATATATTGCTTTTGTAATAAGAGAAACAAGCATCCTTAAAATAAGGTGGGGAACAACAGGACTCTTCAGAGGGAAGAAGTTGGCCTGCTTGGTGGCACAGGGTTGACAGAAGACAGGCATTTCCGGCCCAGGGGACTGTAAGGCATCGCCCACTGGCTCCCAGGGGATCCTCTCAGGTCTTCCCAGGATGGAGCTTAACTTCAACCCTTTCTTTCTCACACAAGAAGGCAGGGAACAAGTGTGATATCATCGCAGGGATGACCTTGAGTTTGTGCAAATCTATGGGAATATACACATGATTTAGTGCTTCAGTCTGTCAACACACTTCACACTTGCATCCCTGTGTTGGAAACTGGGGGAGGACCAAGCTTTGCAGGAAAAAACAGCAGCCAGAACTCACCTTTGTCCACTGCTTCTAATTCACGACTCTGCTTTCAGTACCTGTGTGGCCTGAATTCCTTCAAATTCCCATGTCGAAACCCTAATCCCCAACGTGGCAATGCAGAGACGGGGGCCTTCGAGGGGATACATGAGGGTGGGGCCCTGATCTGCTGGGACTGGTGTCCTGTAAGAGCAGGCGCCGCATGGGGGTTTGCTCTCTCTGCAGGCAGAGAAGACCCTGTGAGGACGCAGCTCGTGGGTGGTCACCTACCAGAAGGCCCAGGAGGACCAAACCGACCTGCACGTGCTCTGGGACTCCAGCCTTCAGAACTGAGAGAAATACTCTCCATTGTTTAAGCCACCTGAGCTGACTGGTGTAACACCCCAAACCATCCTGCAGGTGGAAACGGGGCTCAAACAGGACAGGCCAACATCACCAAGCCAGCAAGCCGGCCCAGAGCTCAAACATGAGAAGGCTGGTTCCCTTCTGGCTCATTATTTTTCCGGCTCAGGTACGTTTTTGTAACTTATAAATACAACTAATGATTATAAAAATCACAAAAGCAGGCCTATCTGCCGAGTCCTAGTGCAGCCCTCCTGCGAGCACATGTGCTGGGCCTTCCCTGCCCATCAAGGCATCCAGACCCAGACAGAAAACCAACAGTGCTTGTGATGGTCCCAGACACGGGCAAGGGGGCTTTCTGCAAAGCAGCATTTGAAAATTACTACTATCTCTAATGTTTTCCTGATTCCAAAAAAAGACAAATATAACATACAAAGAAGTACAAACGACTTTCGTCTTTTGAAAAATACTCAGTATGTTAAGCAATTCTCTTCTCCTTTTAATCTTTTCATGTTGCTATAGGTCATTCTACTAACCGATATACAGGACTGCCCATTTTACTCCCTATTTGGAATATTTAGGGTTCAGACTTCTCCTGGTCCTTGCAAGACCCCAGGGCAGAGAGTCACACGTGGAGCTCAGTTCAGGCACTGCTTGGGGATGCGTGGGCTCCTGGTCTCCTGTGGCCTCAGTGGAAGGCACCATGGCTCCCCTTCCATCCTGGGGCACCTCCCCACAGACTTCTCTCTCAGGTAAGAGGTGACCTGCCTGCCACCCTGAGGGCCCAAGTGCCCAGCAATTCCCTCACCACATCAGCAAGCACACATCCTGGTTTGCACCCAGGGCTTCCTGCAAGTCTAGCGGTGGAGTCGAGACCCTGACAACTTGGCTGTCTGCCTCATTGGCTGTCTCTCCAAGGAATTACCTGAGGAGCTTTTCTACTTACACCTGGAGATTCTGACTCAGGAGACAGATGCCTGCTGCCACTCAGAGTCCAGCACTCCTTGAACAGGGTCCCTCAGTGCCCAGAACCGTGTCCAGGTCTCAGAAGCTGGCCCAATTCCTCGAAACAAACCCAGCTTCTTCCCTGATGGTGCCAATAAACCAAGATGGCACAGAAAACCACCGCACATGATGTATTATTACCTGCCTTGGATACAAAGATTCTGACTCTGTTTTTGCTGTTTGATGCTATCAGCTTTCAAGACCTACAACTTGCCCTCTGCTCCACATCTGGGCCCCAAAACAAAACAAAACCCAATGCCAGCTGCTGTGCCCAGAAAGCCTCACTCAATTTGTGTAAACCTTTTCAAACCCTCTTGGTGTATGTTGTGGGTGGGACTGTCCCCTGAAAAGACACAATCAAGTCCTGCCCCCAAGTCTGTGAGTGGAACCTTATTTGGAAACAGGCTCTTTGCAGATCTAATAATGAGTTACATTAAGATTAGGTCCCACTGGGGGTCGGCCGAGTGGCTCAGTTGGTTAAGAGCTCGCTCAAGAGTTTGAGCTTTGCACTAGAGTGGTTCCGTGCCCAGCCCAAGCTGAGCTGCCAACAGGTGGCAGGATGGCTCAGCTAAGAAAAAAAAAAATTAAAAAAAAAAAAAAGATTAGGTCCCACTGGGGCAGGGTGGTCCCCCAGTGCAATGACTGGTGTCCTTACAA